ACTATATCTAAGAACATGGCATCAAGATTGGAGGAAGAATCATTAACAACCTGTGATATGCTGATGACACAACGTTGCTTGCTGAAAGTGAGAATAACTTGAAATACTTATTGATGAAGATTGAAGAATACAGTCTGCAGTATGGATTACATCTCAACATAAAGAAAACAAAAATTCTCACAACTGGACCTATAAGCAGCATCACAATAAATGGAGAAAAAATTTAAGTTCTCAAGGACTTTACACTGCTTCGTTCTACAATCCACACCAATGGAAGCATCAGTCAGGACATCAGACGACGTATGGCACTGGGCAAGTCGGCTGCAAAGGATATCTTTCAAGTGCTGAGGAGCAAAAGTGTCTCTTTGAAGACTAAGGTGCACCTGACATAAGCCATGATATTTTCAATCGCTTCATATGCATGTGAGAGCTGGACAATGAATAAGGAAGACCAAAGAAGAATTGATGCTTCTGAGATGTGGTGCTGGCAAAGAATGCTGAAAATACTATGAACTGCTAAAAGAACTAACAAATCTGTCCTGGAGGAAATGCAGCTGGAATGCTCCTTGGAAGCAAGAATAGCCAGACTTCATCTCACCTACTTTGGTCATATTGTCAAAAGGGACCATTCCCTGGAGAAGGATGTCATGCTTGGTAAGGTGGAGGGTCAATGAAAGAGGGGAAGGCCCTCAACGAGATGGACTGATACAGTGGCTGTGGCGACGGGCTCAAGTACAGCAGGGATCACAGAGCTGGCGCAGGACCGGGCGGTGTTTTGTTCTGCTGTGCATAGGGGCCTATGAATCAGAGATGACTCAACGGCACCTAACAACAACAACATTCTGAATTTGAAGTGGCAGTACAATATTTTAAAAGAAATATTATAGCAGATAGCTAGAAAACAGTAGGAGGGAGAGTTAAGACCAAAACACATATTTGGTCATTTATACAGAGGTTATAATTAAAGCTGTAATTATATAGGAAATCCCATTATGCAATGTTAAGTGAAAAGTTTTAAAGCCGAAAAGGCAGCAAACATTGTCAAATAGTGGGATCAAAGAAAATGGGAAAGTCCACAGGGGTACTAGAGGCTGTGATAGGGCTATCCAAGATAGAGGAAGGACTGGGAAACAATCATTCAACAAATACTTACTGAAAGCCCACTCTGTGCTAGACACTGCTAGGCACTATGAACATAAAAGATGAAGAACACAGCTACACACTCCACTCTTCACCTTTAAGCAGGGAAAGTAGACATTAAATTAATGTGATGAATAACATAACGATCACAGGGTGCAATGGAAACACATAACAGAGGGTTGTAACTAAGACAAGGGATCAGGGAAAATGTCCCTGAAGGGCATTTAAGGAGAGACCTGAAGTAGGAGTAAGAGGTTGACCAGTTTGTCTGGAGGTAAGAAAGAGAGGAGAGTAGAGGCAGGAATTAAGAGAGGATATGTTTAGCAGGCAGAGAGCCTATCAAAGGAAATGGCTCACAGTAAGAGAGAGCACTGTACATTTGGGAAGCTGGAAGAAATTCAGCATGGCTAGAGTATGAATACTAACAAGCCCCCCCCCAACACACACATATACACATAAAACAAAGGTTGAAGATGTGAGCTAGCTAGTGGAATCATTTTTAAAGCATTTAAACTTTATCCTAAGGCAATGGGAAGTCACTGAAGAATTTTTCAAAAAGCAGTAATGAGATCAGATTTGCATTTAAAATACATCAAAGGGGAAGAGTCCAGAAAATTGGAAGATCTCTTAGAACTTACAATGAGCATTTCTAAGCAAAGGATCAAGGGTGGTGAGTAAGTAAGAGAAAAGACTATCCCCAAATTTCTGACTCCAATAATGATGCATGATGTACACCTTCACTGATGGCAACAGTGGAGTAAAAGGTTAAGACTGAAGATAAGAATTTGTTGAATTTGAGTTGTCTATGGAATATTCCATTAAGAAAACAAAAATCTTCATAACTAACCAATAAACATGATAATGGAGAAAAAACTAAAATTGTCTATATTAATTTCTACTTGGATCAATAAAGTTCGTGGAAGCAGTAGTTAAGAAATCAAATGGCGAAATTTATTCACTGTAAAAGACTTCCTTAAGGTTTTAAAAAGCAAAGATGTCTAAGGTGTACCTGACCTAAGTCATGGTCTTTTCACTTGCCTCTATGTCCAGTGAAAGCTGGACAATGAAAAAAGACAGAAGAATTGATGTATTGTATTGGCAAAGAATACTGCATATACTGTAGACTGCCAAAAGAATAAACAAATCAGTCTTAGAAGAAACCAGAATGGTCCTTACAAGTGAGGATGGTAAGACTCTGACTTACTTACTTTCGACACATCATGAGACACCAAACGCTGGAAAAAGATATCATGTTTGATAGAGGGTCAGTGAAAATGAGGGAGAGCCTCAGTGAGAAGACTGACACAACAGCCACAAAAACTGATTCAAACATACCAAAGATCAAGAAGATGGCACAGGATCAGCAGTGCTGCCGTCTATCAAAAGCAACTTGATGGCAACTAGCAACAACAATGGAACATCCAAGAACAATGGCCTAATAAACCTATAAATATGACACGGAAGCTCCAGTCAAACATGGCAGCATAAGGGGACCCCTGCAAATGCCAACATTTAAGAAAGAGATACCTGATGAGTAAGGTAAGAGCAAAGAAGACTACACAGTCATGGAGATTAAGGAAAAAGATCATTTTAAGAAGAACTGGAATGGTCAGTAATAATGTATGTTGAGTGTTTACGGAAGCTGGACATTTTACAAGGCCCTCCAGTGGCACAGTGGTTAAAAGCATTGGCTACCAACCAAAAAGTCAGTGGTTCAAATCTACCAGCTGCTCTGCAGGAGAAAGATGAGGCAATCTGCTTCCACAAATATTTATAGCCTTGGAAATCCTATAGGGCAGTTCTATTCTGTCCTACAGGGTCACTATGAGTCGGAATCAACTCGATAGCAATGAGTTTTGTTTATTTGGTTGGACATATTACATACATCAGCTAATTTAATCTTCAATCTTCACAACCTTAGGGTACAGTTAATATTATCTACATTTTACAGATAAGGAATATTTATTCAATCTGTATGCTGAGCATATAATCTCAGAAGCTGAACTAAAAGAGAAAGAATGCAGCATCAGGATTAGAGGAAGACTCATTAACAACTTGTGATATGCAGATGGCGCAATCTTGCATCCAAAAGCAAAGAATACTTAAAGTACTTACTGATGAAGATCAAACACTACAGCCTTCAGAATGGATTATATCTCAACATCAAGAAAACAAAAATGTCACAATTGGGCCAATAAGGAATATCATGATAAACGAAGACGAGACTGAAGTTGTCAAGGATTTCATTTTGCTTGGATTCATAACCAATGCCATGGAAGCTTCTGTCAAGAAATCAAACAATATATTGCACTGGGCAGATGTGCTCCAAAAGATTTCTTGAAAGTGTTAAAAAGTAAAGATTCCACTTTGAAGACTAAGATGTGCCTGACCCAAGCCATGGTATTTTAAATTGCCTCATATGCATGTGAAAGCTAGACAATGAAAAAGAAGACCACAGAAGAATTGATTCATCTGCCTTATGGTGTTGGCAAAGAATATCAACTACACCATGAAGTGCCAGAAGAACAAACTGTTTTGGAAGAAGTATTCAGAATACTCCTTAGAGGGAGGATGGTAAGACTTTACCTAATGTACTTTGGCCATGATATCGAAAGGGACTAGTCCCTGGGGAAGGCCTTTATGCTTGGGAAAGTGGAAAACCAAACCAAACTCACTGCCACAGAGTCATTTCCAACTTATAGGGACCCTCATTCAGTTTCCGAGGCTGTAAATCTTTACGGAAGAAGATTTCCCAGTCTTCCTCCCATGGTAAAGTGGTTGTGGTTGTTGTTGTTATGGGCCATGGAGTTGGACCCAACTCATAGCAACCCTTCCTTGGGTTTCCAAGGCAGTATCACTATGGAAGTAGATTGCCCAACTTTCCTTCCAAGGAGTGGCTGGTGGTTTTGAACCTTCTGGTGAGCAGTCATGTGCCTTAGGCACTACGCTACCAGAGCTCCTGTGGTAAAGTGGAGGGTCAGGGAAAAAGAGGAAGACTCTCGACAAGATGGATTGACACAGTGGCTGCAACAATGGGCTCAAATATAGCAACAACTGTCAGCATGGCACAGGACAAGGCTGTATTTCTTTCTGTTGTACACAAGGTTGCTAAGTTGGAACTGACTAAATGGCTCCTAACAACAACAGATAAGGGAGGTAATTTAACAGAAAAAGTTACACAGCTAGAAAATGCATCAGAGATAAAAATCCAGGCATGTCATATTCAAGAGATTGCACTCTTAGAGTGATATACTTCTCTACAGGAGTGGTTTTCACTGTGGTATTAAGAAAATGTGTGTGTTTAATCTTATCCTTTTAAAATATCTTTTTTATGTTTTATATTATACTCACTCAAAAAAACAAACTCACTGCCATCAAGTCAATTCTGACTCATAAGCGACCTCCACTGGGTTTCTAAGGCTGTTAAACTTTATGCAAAGAGACTGTCACATCTTTTTTCCATAGAGCAGCTAGTGGGTTTAAACCACCCAACTTTCTGCTTTGCAGCCAAGTGCCTTAACCACTACACCACTGTACGTAGAGTTTATATAATTTATACGTAACAGGTTAAAAGACTGTATTCTAACTCATTTTTAACTTATTTTGCTTCAAATAGCCCAAAGAAATACTCAATTTTAATTTGAAGGCAATTTGAGTACAAGAGAGAAAATAAAATTTTCAATTCTGCAACTGCTCATATATCTATGATTTAAAATGATTCACACATAAATCATCTAAAATAACAAACATTTGAAGAAAGGACTCTAATAACAGATAAAATTTTAAAGAAATAGTAATTTTATCAAAAAGAAATCAAAGAAAAATATCTGAGATCAAACTTTTTCTTGCCACTCATATACCATGTTTCAACTTCTCTATTAGTGCTTCATTGTCATCCAACTTCAACTCGTTGACTTTATCTATCAGTCCTTCAATGTCACCCATACCTATAAGTTATAAAGAAAAAAAAGAAAAATTAACAACTAATACAATACCCCTGCCTTTATATTATATAAAACATATTCACATATACAATAACCCTATCAGGTAAGCAAGTCAGGTGATATTACCACACTGCATAAATGAGAAAACTGAAAGCAAGAGAAATGACAGTGAAGAGATAACAAGGCAGATACTCCAGGCCAGGGCTTGATTCCAAATTCACGTTGTCTAACTATACCACCATGAGATATCAGGAATGTTTCATTACTACCACCACTACCACATATCTTTGTATCATACTCTAAAACTTTTCTAAACAATTTTTCATCTAGTATTTTCTTTTGCCAATTCTAACCACAGGAAACAACTACAAACTCTTTCTTACAGATGACAAAGATAAGTCATGCCAAAATCAAACCCACTGCCACTGAGTTGATTCTGACCATAGCAACCCTACAGGACAGAGTAAAACTGCCCCAAAGGATTTCCAAGGCTGTAAATGTTTATGGAAGCAGATTGCCACCTCTTTCTCCATAGGATTTCTAAGGCTTTACGAAGGCAGGCTGTCACATCTTTCTCCCATGGAGTGGCTGGTGGGCTTGAACCGCTGACTTTGGATTAGCAGCTACTCACCACAAATTCTAGGTACTATGTATTTTGAAATAAATTATGAAGTGTTAGATTTTTATACCTAGAAAGTCATTGCTTCTGCATATATTTTATTAGTTCATCGCCACTGACACATCTGTTCCTCTTACTATGGATATTTAATTCAGTTTTTTTGTACTAATTTTTCATTTCTATATTTGCTTTTGTTCCCTGGATTCTATCTGTGTAATCCATGATGTTTACTGTGACCATATGATTTCACCACACCACCTCTGAGGGAGGTGATGTCTCATCAGCAGCTTCAATGAACCCTGAAGCCCAGCCTCCTAACAGTGACTTTGAGCTTCCTTCGACATCCACTCCCTACAATTCCCGTCTGTTGTTGTTGTTGTTATGTGCCGTGGAGTCGGACCCGACTCATAGAGACCTCTCCTTGGGTTTCCGAGGCAGTATCACTATGGAAGTAGATTGCCCAACCTCCCTTCCAAGGAGTGGCTGGTGAGTTTGAACTGCCAGCCTTCTGGTTAGCAGTCGAGTGCCTTAGGCACTACACTACCAGAGTTCCTGCTTGGACATTTTAAGAATATCTGTACCCTAAAATGAACCAAGATCTGTACCTCATACCATATACAAAAACTAACTCCAGATGGATCAAAGACTTAAATGTGAAACCTAAACCTACAAAGTTCCTCAAGAAAAAATAGGGGCCCTCATTTACAGCATAAATAGACTGTCAAGCATAACCCAAAATGCACAAAAAGCTGAAGATAAAGTAGATGAATGGAACCTTCTGAAAATTTAATTTTCATGTGCTTCAAAAGACTTCTCCAAAAGAGAACCTACGGATTAGGAAAAAATATTCAACAACAACATATCTGACAAGAGACTTATCTCTAAAATTTATAGTAAACTCCAATGCCTCAACAACAAAAAGATTAACAATCCAATTAAATGGGCAGAAGACATGAACAGACACTTCACCAAAGAGGATATTCAGGCGGCCAGCAAATACATGAAGAAACGCTCATGATCATTAGCCGTCAGAGAGACGCAAATCAAAAGAATAATAAGATACCATCTCACCCCAGCACTAATGGCAAAGCTCAACAAGACAGAAAATAACAAATGCTGGAGAGGATATGAAGAGACTGGAACTCTCATATACTGCTGGTGGGACTGTCAAATGATACAATCACTGTGGAAAGCATTATGGTGATTCCTTAAAAAGCTGGAATTAGAAATACCATTTGATCCAGAAATCCCATTACTAGGTATATACCGTAAAGAAGCAAGAGCCAGAAGAACAGACATATGCACATCCACGTTCATCACAGCACTATTTACAACAGCAAAAAGATGGAAACAACCTAGATGCCCATCAACAGAAGAATGGATAACCAAACTATGGTGCATACACACAACGGCAAACTATGTAACACTAAAGAATAACGTAGAATCTGCAAAACACTGCATAACATGGATGAACTTGGAGGACATTATGCTGAATTAAATAAGTCAATCACAGAAGAACAAATATAGTATTAGTTCATTATTGTAAAAAGTCATGGAGACGTTTATATATGGAAGGAAACTTTCTTTGCTGGTTACCAGTGGTGGGAGGGGAGAGGAGGGAACACTGAAAAAAAAAAAAAAATGCACTGACCCTTATCACTTTAGTTTTGTGTATTTCAGTGTATATAAATTATATTTCAATAAAATGTATTTTTAAAAAAGATTACCTGTATCCTGCTAGCTACTTACACTCAAATATTATTGAGTCTATTACTTTAATAGGAGCTCTGGTAGCATAGAGCCTAAGGCACCTGACTGCTAACCAGTTCAACCCCACCAGCCACTCCTTGGAAGGAAGGTTAAGCAATCTACTTTCCCAGTGACACTGCCTCAGAAACCCAAGGAGGGGTTGCTATGAGCCGGGTCCACTCGACAGCACATAGTAACAACAACAACAAATCTGTCCTAAATAGCTATACTATTTTTTCAAGATATTTCTGTATTCCCACCACTGGACTTACCAAGAAGTTTGCTGATGAAAGGCTGTGTTTTGAAAGGTTCAAAGTCATCTATATGTTCCCCTGTACCAATGAAAATAATTGGACTTTTTGTAGCAGCAACTCTGCGAAGAAAAAGAAACATAAAGTAACCTCAAAAAAGAGAACAAATTTCAGTAGATTTTCAAAGGTACTTAGACAAAAGTCCATAGCTCGCTTCTTTTCATATTTTCGCTAGTTAAAACAACTGTATCAGAGGGTTTCCAAAACTGTTTGTATTTAAACTTTTGTAACATCTTAATTCATTATGGGAATATATTTTAAATGACCAATAAGAAAGCTATACATACACACACATATACAAACACGCAACATATAATCCCAAGACACAAGATGACAACATTAATGATACTTACGCACTGAGTGCACCACCTCCTTTTGCATGGCCATCAAGCTTTGTCACTATTACTGAAGCTACATCTACTTTATCTTTAAAAGCCTTGGCCTGGGCTTCACAAGCCTGCCCAATGGAGGCATCCATCACATAAACAATATTATCAGGTTGCTAGAAAGTAAAACATAAATATTTTTACTGAAGTTAAAAAAATTCACCATTAGAAACTAAAGAACAATATTTACCATAAGTCACTATTCATTCAATCATGATCTGTTGAGGGAGTAGTACATATTAGGCATCATCTAGAGGTCATGGGGACAAAGAAGTAAATAAGAAAATCCCTGCCCTCCTGGAATTTATATAGTCACAGGCAAATAAACATTTCAGATGTACAACACTTACAACAGGGCAGGGAATATCAGTTCAGTTTTGAGATTAGAGAGGTTTCATTAAGTCGAGTGGTCAGGGAAGGCCTCTATGGAGGTAACAGTGGAGCTAACGCCTGAATAAAGAGAAAACAACTATGCAAAGATCTGCAGGAATGGCCCTGGGTAAAGGGAATACCAAAAGTGATTTTGAGAAAAATAAAAAGTAGAAGAGTGTGCACTGAAACTAAACTGAATAAAATAGGGATGCGGCTATTTCCCTTAGATCTGCTCAACCAGGTCAAAATAATAGCACAGCTAAAAAAGAAACTTACTAGTATTAACCAGTAACAAAACAAATTTCTGCCAAAACCCCAAGGGCAAAACAATCAAACTTATTAGGAATGCATGTTTTGCCACTGGGGTGTTGATATTTATAAACAGTTATTTATAAACTGCTTCTCCTCAAGTTTATTTTCATCACAATTTTAAAGAAGAGATATGTAATCATGATTAATATTTTTTAAATGTTTCATTTTAGAACACTTTCAAAACTTATCTAAAGTAAATGTTTACAACTTAAATAATTTACAGAAAGGAAATTAAACAGATATAGAAGGTCACTCTTCATTTTTTACTTATGTGTTCTTTAGTTATACATACTAATAGGATAATTAGTGTACTAAGCATGAAAGGATTTTTTTAATACTTAATCATGAAAATTCTCTATCTAATAAAGGCCAAATACAAAAAGATTATCACACAAATACAGATGTGCAAAACAGAAATAAATTACTTGGAATCTGCCTTCAAGGCAAAGAATTATTTATATTGATCATAATCTCAATCAGCATTTGTAGTTAAACTAACTAAAATTTTTAACAGTGTTACAATGAAAGCCACTTACTATAGCATTAGCAACTTGAAGCATTTCTTCAAACAAAGAGTCTTCTTGTTTATGGCGGCCACTTGTATCAACAATAATTATTTCAAAATTTTCATTTTTGAATTTCTCTACTCCTTCAGAGGCAATGATAACAGGATCCATTTCTGTGTAGCTATTTAACATGGACAATTCTATTAATCTGGAAATCTTTAATCTACTTTTAATCTATTCTAAAAAAGTAAAATAATCACAATTTCAATTTAGAAGAATAATCTGAAAACTATTTATTTAATAAATATAGCAACGTACCTCTAGAGCACCATCAACTAGTATACAATCATCGAACTACAAAACTCTTGCATCTTTTTTGAATGAGTTGTGCTTCCCCCAATTTTTTTATCTTCCTGAATAAATGAATTGATGCTGCATACCTGTTTCTATATAGCTGTTTTTCCATTTGACACCCTTATTTGAGCATTTTATAAAGCTACTAAACATTCTTGTATATAGGATACATAGTATTCCATCAGATGGCTTTGTTCTCATTTATTAAATAAATGCCCTACTGTTAGGCATTTAAGGTTGTCTCCATTTGTTGGTATCAAAAATATAGCCACTACCAGACTTCTGTTAAAACAGAGGAAAAGGCAGACAAGCGACACAGACCCTTTCCAACAAAGAAAAGAAAAATCAATTGACAGAGATACAGAAGGTAACCCTGGAGCACTGAGCTTTGAAAGGAGCTATACAGAAATAGACTAGGCACCAACTAGTGGAAAAACCTGAACGAAAACAGGACCAAAGAATAGGCTCTGTTTGCCACGGTCGGCAGAGATATACAAGAGGCTGACAACAGGAAAGGAGACAGGTAGTGAATGTATAAGTGCTGTCAACTAGTGAATAGAAGAGCACAGCACAGTACCCTTGCATAGGTAACATACAAACAAAACAAAGAAAACGAAATTCGTGGGCAAGTCACTCCAACATATAATCACCAATTAAATATAAACACCAAAACATCACAATGCCTCAAAGACATCAGAGCATCAGAGTCCACACAAAGAAGCAAGATAAAGCAGGAGAAACAAGGGACCAAGACACAGATACAAAACACATCGCTGAGGAAGCAGCAGCATTGCAACTCCCTGATAAGGAATTCAAAAGAATTAAATATAATAGGTATCTTCAAAAGATTGAGAGACAGGTTAAAGAAAACACAGATAAAACCCAGGAAGAATTTCAGAAGAAAATACAAGAACAAAATGACAAAATAAATGAAAATTTAGAAATGATTCAAAATCTACAGACAGATATCTAGAAGATTAATGGTAAATTGTCAGAAATAGATAACACATTGAAAGAACATAGGAGTAGAATTAATGCAATGGAAGACAAAATTAATGAGATTGAAGACAAATACCTGAATACTTCTTTGGAAAGAGATCAATCAGAAAAAAAGATCAAAACAAAATGAAGAAAGCCTAAGGTTTATATGGGATACCATCAAAAGGAATAACCTACATGTAATTGGAATTCCAGAATAGGAAGAGAAAAATAAAACCACTTAGAAAACTGCACAAGATTTGTTGGAGGAGAACTTCCCTGATATGATGGAAGATGAGAATATACCCATTCAGGAAGTCCAATGAACCCCAAAGAGGACAGACCCCAAAAGAAAATCAACAAAACATATTATCATCATCAGACTCACCAAAACCAAAGATAAAGAAAGAATCATGAGAGCAGTATGGGAAAAATGAAAAGTTATCTACAAAGGGCAACCAATAAGACTAACCTCAGATTTTTTGGCAGAAACCATGCAGGCGAGAAGACAATGGGATGGTATATATAAAATCCTGAAAGAGAAATCTTTCCAACTGAGAATTTTATACCCAGCAATTGTTGTTGTTGTTGTTATGTGCCATCGAGTCGTTTCCAACCCATAGCGACCCCATGCACGGCAGAACAAAACACTGCTCAATCCCACACCAGCTCCATGATCCCTGCTATACTTGAGCCCATCATCACAGCCACCGTGTCAATCCATCTTGTTGAAGGCCTCCCTCTCTTTCGTCGACCCTTCACCCTACCAAGCATGACACCCTTCTCCAAGGAATGGTCCCTTCTGACAACATGACCAAAATAGGTGAAATGAAGTCTGGCCATTCTCGCTTCCAAGGAGCATTTTGGGTGCACTTCCTCCAGGACAGATCTGTTAGTTCTTTTAGCAGTCCATGGTACTTTCAGCATTCTTCACCAGCACCACAACTCAAAAGCATCAACTCT